TAAATCCTTAAGATGATTGTGAATGCCAATGGAGTGACAAACACTCGTATTCGACACTTGCCGAATTGCGAGCGGATGCTTCCAGTCGAGAGCTTTCACTACATCTAACGCCCAACGGGAGGCCTGTTACACTCTACGAACATGATCAGCATAATTAGCATGGAGTGACGCCCATCTCAACATCATACTCACTCTCTTTGGTAGCAGCTCGTCTTGGGACAGGAAGCCCGGCTTGTGGACATTAGGGTTGTAATCACCATACTGCAGAAACAAAATGAGAAACCAAAATGAGCTCAATTATGAACGCTGAGGTGGAAAACAGACTCATACGGTCACATAAAAACAGCCATTATATTCACCTGCTCTCGCTTAAAGTGTAATTCGGCAATATGGAGTTGTGTAAAACATATTAAAAGCAAAATAAGATGAAATAGAGCAGTTAGTTTTAGGAGAGACATGATGAGGAAGAGCAACGTAGAGCAGATGTGCTGTTGAGAAAAAGTTAATCACACCCAATAAATAAATAAATAAATAAATAGTTTCACAATTTGACAAAGATCTTGCAAAAGCAAAACCAACGGTGAATAAGAGAACTTAAATGATACAAAACATATATAAAGTATTAAAAAGCTAAATCTTAATTAGACTACTATTCAAAACTTTTGGGATATTTATTTATATATTTCAGTGGGGGAATTAAGTATTGAGCATGTCATGTTTTTTCCTGGAAATAATATTTCTAAAGGTGCTGTTGACAGGAATTGAACCAAATTTTGGTTAAAAAACCCAAACAATACAAACATAAAAAAAAAATAAAATAAAAAAAAACAATCTATCAAATCTGATCTTTATTTTCTATTGGATTCAGATCAGGTGATTGGCTGGGAAGAATTACCATATCACAAGAAATGGATAAGTTATATAGTTACCAGGTTTGGGTCAGGGGTTAACCTAGGTGGAAATTGGGGTCAGGGGTTAAACTAGGTGGGATCTTGTGTGACATATGTAGAACAAAGGGAAAAAACAGTTGCAAAAGAGTATTTAAGCAGGCCAGAACATCAGTGAGACAGAATTTTTCAGACAGAGATGCTACTGGGGGTCTCCTGAAAATTCTCCTTTGTTGTCGACAATAAAGTATACTCTTCTGATATTCATGACCTCCAGACTGAGTTTGATTCATTAAGAGAAAAACCAAAAACCACGTCAGGCCATTCTACAGCTTGATTTTCTTTCTCTGAAAGCATTTGAGAGATTCCTTGGCTGTGTTTGGATCATTGTCTTGCTGTAATGTCCACCCTGGTTTTCATCTTCATCCTCCTGCTAATGTAGATGTTAGACTGAAGCAGTTACATTCATTTAGAATGAGGGAGGGCAGAAGTTTGCTGAAGAACCACTGAGAGATTTTATCTGCTGTCTTGGCTTTCACTGCCTTTCTACACCTCCCTTTATTCATTATTTTTTATTTATTATGTTGCAGCAGAAATGGAGACTCATCAGACCAGGAAACGTTTCTCCAATCTTCTATTGTCCAATTTTGGAAAGCCTGTGCGAATTGTAGCCTCAGTTTCCTGTTCTTAGCTGACAGGAGTATCAGCCGGTGTGGTCTTCTGCTGCAGTAGCCCATCTGCCTCAAGGTTGGACGTGTTGTGTGATGCTCTGCTGCATACCTCAGTTATTTGAGGTTCTGCTGCCTTTCTATAAGCTAAAAGCAGTCTGGACATTCTCCTCTGAACTCTGGCATCAACGAGGCATTTGCACCCACAGAACTGCCGCTCACTGGACATTTTCTCTTTTTTGGACCATTCTCTGTAATCCCTAGAAATGGTTGTGTGTGAAAATCCTTGTAGATCAGCAGTTTCTGAAATCCTCAGACCAGCTCGTCTGGCACCAACAACCATGCCACGTTCAAAGTCACTTAAATCACCTTTCTTCTATATTCTGAAGCTCGATTTAAACTGCAGCAGATCGTCTTGACCATGTCTACAGGCCTAAATGCACTGAGCTGCGTTTTGCGAAAGGCTGATTAGAAATTTGCGTTAATGAGCAGTTGAACAGGCGTACCTAATAAAGTGGCCAGTGAATTGTAAAATACACACATTTTGTCAGAAAAAAACAAAAAAAAAAACTTTAATTTTGGATCTAATTAATCTTTGCCCAGCAGTAAAATAGTAATGAGAGGAATTAGAATAAGAATGAATGAAACCGATTCTAAACCTATAGTTAATTCATTCATTCATTTTCTTGTCGGCTTAGTCCCTTGACTCCGGGGTCACCACAGCGGAATGAACCGCCAACTTATCCAGCAAGTTTTTACGTTGCAGATGCCCTTCTAGTCGCAACCCATCTCTGGGAAACATCCACCCACGCATTCACACACACACACTCATACACTACGGACAATTTAGCCAACCCAATGCACCCTGAGGAAACCCATGCGAAGGCAGGGAGAATATGCAAACTCCACTGCCTCGCCCTGAACCTATAGTACCGATTCTAAAAAAAAAAAAAAAAAATAGTACATACTTTCTGGTATTCTGAATGTTTTTTAATTGTCATTTCTGAGGTAAACTGAACAAACAGTTACACTTTTGAAACCATAAGCTTGTTATTCATGTATTTACTGTCTATGTATCTCTTCATAAACAACGACAAAACAGTTTGTGATTCTCAACAATCGCACACCGCAGATGCTCTACATAAAAACAGCAATACAGATAAGGCCTATGAATGTCATTACCTTCCGAAACAGACAGCAAAGATATAACGATACAGATTGTGGTGCTGTGCATGAACTGAAGAACAAGCAGATATGCAGAATCAGAAAAAAAAAAAAACCAAGACAATAATGGTCCCTCAGTGTCACGCTGGCCTGTCATATTGAGCACTGCGGACAGATTCATGCTTCTCTGCTGTAAAGAGACTGGCATGTGAAAGGATCCCCATTTCAAAGTGAATGCTGTCTAAAGCTTTACTCCTGCTTTCTCTGTAAGGGAGAAACTGCTGCCGTCTTCTTCAGTTCGATTTTCTCTCACAATTTTCATATTTCTTCCTCATATCCCTGCCTAACTGTGGCTCTTTTTTGATTCCTATTCACACCTCCTTGTTCTCTTCGCTCATGCCTTCCTTTAACTTCCTGTCTTTATGAATAACTCCAAATACGCACCTGGTGGTTTAAAAGGGAGAGAGAGAAATTGTCAGGCAGCTACTTATATTTGAAAAAAAATATGAATGTGAAAGCTTAACTCAGATCTAATGAATGCATTTTTTTTGTTACTAAATATCAGGTGAATTCTAATGCAGCAAGTAATGCTTGAAGATTATTTTATCATAATGTTACAAACACTCACTGCAATACAAAAACTGGACGAAAAAAGTGGCTCTACCTAACAGCATCATGACTATTTAAAGGAGCTGTATGCAAGTTTTTGACACTTCTTAAGCATAAAAATACCATAATATGTTTGCAGATATTTAAGAAATATGCCAAGAACGTCTGTTTTTTTTTTTTGTTTTTTTTTAGTCCCTTTAACCCACCTAATCTCAGTTTAGCCAATTATATTTCAAAACCCTGAGTTGCCTTTCTGGGAAACAGGACATTTCATTCATTCAGTCATGAAGGCTCTCAAACCATGCATCCGCGACAAAAAATGTGACCTCCGAACATTACTTTTAAAAAAAAATTACTTTTCCCAGCACACATTTAGTTAATGTTACTTTTAAAAAAGCAACTCATATTTTAACATATTAACTACTTAAAAAAAAAAAAAAAACTTTACCCGGCACACATTTACTTAACGTTGCTTTAAAAAAGCGACTCAATGTTGTAATACACAAACTACTGTACTTTAAAAAAATGACTTTACCCAGCACACATTCACTTAACGTTGCTTTAAAAAAAGAAGCAACTCAGTATGGGGTATATGATGATGCATGCTAATAGGACTTTTAATTTGCCATTAACCTGGGTTAAGCGCTTCCGGCGAATTGAATGGCAATGCAAAATCCGGTGCGTTTAAGGTCTGTTTTCTTTAAAAATCAGCGATCTCCACTAGCTGAGTGATATCCGATTTAAAGTGGGTCTCATATTGTACAAGAAGCACTGCATTAAATTACATTTCCCCCGCCATGTCTTTATTATATGAGCATTTATTTTACCCCAGTATATTCAATGGAGCTTCTGCGTTAGCCTGCCGATTCTGATGGGCGTGTGCAAGTAAACGGCTTGTTGTCTTGTTTTACGCTTGAGCAACTAAATAAATGCTAAAGTTTATTTAACTGAATGTATTTTAATGACATTACAACATCGATGCTGTATAAGGAACCGTATAAAATGAGAAAAAGTTCACAATAACAGGTCACCGGAAGTGTATCAGCATGGGAACAGCACTAGCTCGGCATATACCCTATTGTAATACATAAACTACTATACTTTAAAAAAAAATGACTTTATCCAGCATGCATTTATTTAACATTACTTTTTTTTTTAAATGTGACGCAATAATAGCTACTTAAAAAAATGACTTTAACTAGCACAGATTTAGTTAATGTTACGTTATAAGACTCACATTGTAATATAGCTACTATAAAAAATGTCTTTACCCAGCACAGATTTAATTAATGTAACTTTATAAAAGCGACTCATATTGTAATATAGCTACTTTAAAAAAATGACTTCACCCAGCAAAGATTTAGTTAAAATTACTTTAGAAAAAAGTTACTCATATTGTAATATATTAGCTACTTAAAAAAAAATGACCTTACCTAGCACATATTTTTTTAATGTTTCTTTTAAAAAAAGCAACTCGATATTGTAATGTATGAGCTATACTTTTAAAAAATTACTTTACCCAGGACACATTTAGTCAACCTTACTTTCAGTTACAAACATAAACATTGGGTGAGCAGGTTACATTGTAACCCCGTGTCTCAACAACAGGCTACGTTACGAGATTTGAAGTGATAAGCAATTTGGCTGTTTGCACCAGACAAAATTTAAACACAGCCATTCCGAAGCAAAGAATAGTGCCCTTACTACACTCCAACAAAATGGTAAGGTTTATAATCTAATTACTACATATTAAACCTCTGCTAAACAAATCCTGTTGTGTAGCTGTAAAAAATAGAAGCCGTTTCTAAAATATAAATTTCAGGTGTTGGATAGAACAAAAACTTTTTAATAGAATCTATTCCTTCTAACGTGTGACATTGCTTTTAGTTAGAACACGACTTAAATCAGCCTTTAGGCTCGATAGTCAGGCACACTCCTATTTGTTTTGTCAATCTCGCAACCTGCACTTGCGTAGTTTGTTAATTTCTCACACTGTTTGCGCAAATGTCGACGGATACAAATTCTCAAGCAACAGGCTAGGGCAAATAACTGAAAAGCAATCAACATTCAGAACCCATTATCAATTTCCAGATCAATTTGTTAAATTACTTTCTTTTGTGGATTCCGTTATGTTAAGGCTGATTTATACTTCTGCGGCCACTTTGCAGCAGCATCTAATCTCTGGTCAAGTAAGATGAGGGACCCATTGCTGAGCAAAGCACACCAGTGTAAAGCTCAAAACAACCACATCTTGCCATGTGAAGCTTACAAATTGCTTTAACAAAGAAAACAAAAGCTTTAGCAGATTCCCGTCCAGTTTTCAGAGCCATCTAGCGTTCCTCTGAGTCTGACATGAGGCAGAGAAGCAGTGTGCGCTTTCTAAATTGGCACAAGGTGAGATGTGCGCAGGTAGACAAGGCTTTCGGATAAATCACACGTTCTTGTTGCCCCCGAGCTGTCGATCAAACTGACACATGCTTAATAAAATTCGCTTCTTTCGATAGGAAAGGTGTAATGGGATGGATGCCGACCTTGAAGGTGCGTTCGCTAGAGGTTAAGGTTTAGCTCTGACACCTCTCTGCGCGTGGATCAAAGCAAGCAGGGTTTTTAAAAGCACAGGTGTACTGACCTTAGCATGGACGGCGTAAGAGGCTAACAGCACCGAAGCCTCGGGAGGACAGTAGATCTCCTCTTCTAAAATGCTCTTCTTCACCTGTGCCATTGCAGAAAGAGAGGGGAGCAAGATTAATAGAATGCTAGTTTTATTTAGCACTACATTTTTGAGGCAGTTTGTTAACAAGAACATCGTGCTGTCACAATAGACAAATTACCATGTTCGTAAACATTCAGGATGTGCACGCAGTGAGGTTGCAGAAAAAAAAAACTGGAAGTGCTAGCATTTACAGCAAGGGAATGACATCCAATGCAGTACAGAGTTTGTGGTTGTCTTAGAAATAATTTATATTGATTACATATTATATGTATTATTTACATAATGCTTTCCGTGTATTATAACAGCTTGTCACCCAGTGATAACCACAGTTTTTCGGCAAAATTAACGTTAAAGTGACTGGCAACCGTCTGACAGGTCCATTTGCAATAGCACCCTCCCAATGGATATTGGATAAGACGAAATGGCCAAGCATCCAGCCCCAAATATACAACTATCTCTATGAAACTCCAAGTGATTTTACAAGAGAGAAATTATAGGCATTTAAGTCTTTGGATGCCTACAATTTTGTTCTGTGTGGTCATGAGCAAGAAATAATGATTCAATGAAACCAGATTCAAAGCTTTGTAGTGCTAAAAACCGAGATTCTGCCTAGCCAAAGACAAAGAAAGAAGATGGAGCTATACAAGGCCTGGGTAATCATCAACAAGCAAAACAACTGCATTCTGACAGCAAACTGCACCTGTGTGGCAGGGTATATGAACTTAGATTTTTGCATTTCATTTTTAGCATTCAGTGCCCGCAGTTTAATTCACCATATTTAACTGTTTTTGCTGAAATCGTTGCTGTAATCCTAAATGAGCAATGTGTATGATTCAGCATAGCGTCAACTTACCTGATATGAAATGAGAACTGCAGAGTCCAGCATTTTAAATTAGGTCCTCACTTCTTTCAGCTACCTTTTAGCCAAAGATGTCTGCGGTTGGCATTAAAAGCAGTGTGGTGTACTGTAAAAATTAAGTTTTCTATTTTTTAATTTGGCATCCCACTGCACAACACAACATGTTTGCTATTGCCAGTGGACTCTTTTTGCAACCCGGAACCTGTGTGACATCTTGTGTGACATAGGTTGGTAATTCGTCTATAAATTACAATGTCAGTCGTGGTGTCAAGGATCTTGCAAACCGGCACAAAAAATATATAGTTCAAAAGTAAAATATAGTAAAAATATATGTAAAATAGGCATCTGAGCAAGTCTCTGACAGTGTAATGAGGCTTAACGTTATAGCCTTGGTCTTTCATGCGTTATCATAAATATTCACACCTTAAAGTTTGCTTAGATTGTTCAGCATTTACTTTACCATTGCACTCACTTTGTAGCATTTTATTCATCAAGTTTAAGAGTCTCTATAACACTTATATTTGTTTTATTATAAAGAGATGAGATATTTTGTTTAAATATTTTTGTTTTTGACTATTAAAACAATTTGCCTGAGTAATGTTGGTAAATTAAAATAAAGTGGTTATCATAGAACAACGCAAGAGTTTTATTATGTTAGTGCATAAAAAGCAGAAAAGAGAATGTGCAGTATATAAACCAGTTAGTACTTTTTGATAGAAAATAACTTTCTTATGCTCAGTAAAGCTTAAATTAATACAACCAAATATATACATATATATATATGTATGTATGTATGTATGTATAAATATATATATAAATATATATATATATATATATATATATATATATATATATATATATATATATATATATATATATATATATATATATATATGAAAGTGTTTTTGAACTAAATATTGTTTTGATTTTACTTAATTTGAATTTATTGATTTTTTAGGAATAAATTGCAATATTTCAAGAGTATTTAATTAAATAAATTAAAACCACATTTCATTTACCAGAAACAAAAATATAACTTTACACTGAATTTATTATTTTTTGTGTGCCACCCCAAGATTTGGTGCGACCTCTTCTGGCCACCACTGCTGGATAAGTTGGCGGTTCGTTCCACGGTGGAAACCCCTGATGAATAAAGGGACTAAGCCAAAGGAAAATGAATGAATGACTAAAGTGCAATGTCAGAAACAGACCTGCAACTATAGCCAAGGTCTATAGACCTTTAATGCTCTACTTTTATAGCAAACTAGATATTTTGCAGGTGCTTTCTGAATAGATGGAACAAACACTGTTCTTTATGTATCCTAGTCACGACTATCCATTAGTAAACCGGCAAGAGGTTGTGTCTCTTTCCAGCTCTATGGACTGCAAAAGCCCAGACGTCATTTATGGCTGCAAATACAAAGCAAAGGCAGGATATTTCAATGTCAGTTTTTAAGAAGTCTAGAAGCAGCAGAAGGCTCACAGGTTACACATTCACCAGCGCAGGCCTGTGGAGCTGAATGCTAAGTGAAGCTGTAGGGAGAAAAAAGGTGACCAGGGATAAATGCTCAAAGTCCGAGATCAGGCTCCTAAACCTGCTTCGTATCACTGAATATCTCTGTGTAATAACGCCATTTGTGTGCCCATCATCTAGGCAAGAATTTATGAATAAATAAAACTAGCCTTGCATTTCCTAAAGGATCAAGTACTGCTTGTCAGGCAGGAAAATATTAGAGCTTCTCTGCATGTCAGCTTTATTAAATAAAATCACATATAACACAAAAGAAATAAGCTGAATGGATGATAACCTGTTAATAAAATACAAATAATTTAAACAGGGTTTCTGCAAAATTCTAACTTAAGACCTTTTTAGGACAACTATGAACGAAATTTCAAACTTACAGTACAAAAGCTAAGCATTTTAAAGATTTGAGCCTGCTCCATCAAAAGAAAAAATATAATATAGTTACATAGATATAATATAACATATAAAATATAATTAGCCATTTCTTAGACACATATTTAGGTTAAATGTGTCAAAAAAGCAAACCCTAGTTGTCTACATAAACATTTTTCCTTTAAAACTAAATTTTATTAAATGTATTCACAAGAGGTCACCGTCATCACCTTAATATAAAACAGTCAGAGAATTTTTAAACAAACGTTATTGTAAGAAGAAAATTAAACCAATTAAGCTATTAAATTAGCTATTATAATATTAAGTATGAATAGAGGTTTTCTTTTTTTTTTTAAAGTTTTTAGATTGGTTGCTGGTGATTGGATTGGTGTTGACCCGATTGGGCAACTTTAAGGCATTTAAACAAAATTAAGATCAGTTTAAAAATAATTTAAAACCAAGACAATAATTCAGTGAATTTAAGACTTTTTAAGAACGAAAATTACCTGACAGCTTTATTCAATAATAATCACATTAAAAAATAATAATAATAAATAAAAATAAATAAATAAATAAAAATATCGCACATAAGAAATTATCTGATTGATAACTTGTTAATAAAGTACAAACAACTGAAACAGGGTTTCTGCAAGATTTACCAAGTCAGATGCAAGATTAAGACCTATTTAAGACAGTTATGAATGAAATTTCAGCCTTAAACAAGACAAAAGCCAAGTAATTTTAAAGATTTTTACCTACCCCATCAAAAGAAAAAATATAATATAGTTGTATACATATAATCTAGTATAATTAGTTATTTCTTCAACAAGTATTTTAGATAATGTCAAAAAAGCAAAACATATACACAGATTTTTTTCTTTATTCAAAACCGTCATCAGGATGATAAATCACCGTCATAAACCTACAGTATATATTAGTTTATAAAAAGACAGAGAACTTTTAAACAAATGTTAAGTGTAAGGAAGACAATTAAACCAATTAAGATGTTAAATTAGCTCTTTATAATACAAGTTATTAATACAGTTTTATTTTTAAGTTTTATTGAGATGGCTTGATGGTGACTGGATGGGTTTGGCCCGATTGGGTAGCTTTTCATGGACATTTTAACAAGATTAAGACCAGCATAAAATAAATTTAAGACCTTCCTTTTCAGTGAACTTTAAATGCTAAAATTTAGTTTTTTTAAAATTTAGGACATTTGAAACATTTTTACACACCCTGTGAACACCTACAAGAAAAAAATGACATTGCAATATTTGTTTTTCAGCGATATACATAGTGATATGAAACATATTTTACCAGAGGGATTGAGACTTAATAGATTAAAACTGGTAAGACTTGATGGCCGTTGGACACAAATATTTAAAAAAATAAATAAATAAATCTTATGTAAAAATGACACTTGGCAGTCTTTACTATACAAATCTAATTTAATTAGTCTTTGTTAAGCAACAAATGCTATTTACTGTGCCTGAATGCTTTAAACTCACTTGATATGTTTAACAGAAAAAAATAAATAAATAAAAGATATCCATTAAAAAAATAACTTTAAATCCACGATGGTTAAATTTGCCATTAATATAGAAGCTTCTGGTCAACAGCCATACTTGACATTGCAGATCCAGCAATGTGACTATTGCAGATGTGCACATTGCACTATCAATGCTACTGTATATGTTTCACATCCAACTCTCTATTATCTATACAACATGTTTGAGTCTGTACATTAGGAAGTCAAACTGAACTAAATTCAGAAATATGTAGAAAGGAAACAAAAAGAATTTCAAAACAGTTTACAGTTAGAACTGCAAGAGACTAAGGAATGAGTCAAATAATCGAAATAATTTCTGACTTCACGCTTCATCAAAAGAGAAATTGAATAAAGAATGGGGGAAACAGACTAAACCTTTATCAACAAAAGAAAGAGTTAAAAAACAAAAGCTTGTTTATGTACACAGCTTAATGCATAAATGCGTGTGTTCACTGAAGGGTTAGTATTTACTTGTCAACAATGAACTGGTGCCAAATTACGAGTGAAATACACCAGCCTTTGCCAAATGAGCTGTTGCTAAAAGCACAAGCACATGGGAGACTCTGCTCACCATTAGCAGCTTGGAAAAATGAAAAAAAAAAAGGATCTCTTTTAATGATAACAAGCAAACAGAAGCCAAAAAACTAAGCCTAACAGCAGTGCCACAATTAGCACAAGGCATAACTCATTAA